GGTCTATCTACACTACCCGCAGGTCATCTACCCGGGGGGGGGGGGGAAGTATATCAACACCAGCCATATACTTCTCTTCCTGATTTCTTTTTACGTTTTCATTTCCTGGAATTATCATTTTTCCCTGTCACCCCCTTGTTCTGTCACTCACCCCTGCTCTGTCACTCACCCCCTGCTCTGTCACTCACCCCCTTGTTCTGTCACTCACCCCCTGCTCTGTCACTCACCCCCTGCTCTGTCACTCACCCCCTGCTCTGTCACTCACCCCCTTGTTCTGTCACTCACCCCCTTGTTCTGTCACTCACCCCCTTGTTCTGTCACTCACCCCCTGCTCTGTCACTCACCCCCTTGTTCTGTCACTCACCCCTGCTCTGTCACTCACCCCCTGCTCTGTCACTCACCCCCTTGTTCTGTCACTCACCCCCTGCTCTGTCACTCACCCCTTGTTCTGTCACTCACCCCCTGCTCTGTCACTCACCCCCTGCTCTGTCACTCACCCCCTTGTTCTGTCACTCACCCCCTTGTTCTGTCACTCACCCCCTTGTTCTGTCACTCACCCCCTTGTTCTGTCACTCACCCCCTGCTCTGTCACTCACCCCCTGCTCTGTCACTCACCCCCTTGTTCTGTCACTCACCCTCTGCTCTGTCACTCACCCCCTGCTCTGTCACTCACCCCCTGCTCTGTCACTCACCCCCTGCTCTGTCACTCACCCCCTGCTCTGTCTCCCCGCCGGCGGCCCCGTCTCCCGCCTCCAGTAATACTTTCCCCGTCTCCTCCTTACCGTATTATTATCGCCCAGTAAGAGGGCAGAAACAAACACACACCACACACACACACACACACACACACACACACACACACACACACACACACACACACACACACACACACACACACACACACACACACACACACCCACACACACACACACACACACACACACACACACACACACACACACACACACACCACCACATACACACACACATATGATAGAGCCCAATAGCCTCAGGAACCTGTACACCAGTTGATTGACAGTTGAGAGGCGGGACCAAAGAGCCAGAGCTCAACCCCCGCAAGCACAAATAGGTGAGTATAAATAGGTGAGTACACACACGACGCGAGAAAGAGACCTGGGCGTGGACGTAACACCTAATCTATCTCCTGAGGCACATATAAATAGGATAACAGCAGCAGCGTAGTCTACACTGGCAAAAGTTAGAACATCATTCAGAAACCTAAGTAAGGAGGCATTTAGGGCGCTTTACACTGCCTACGTGAGACCAGTCTTAAAGTATGTCGCCTCATCAGGGAGTCTCCATCTGAAGAAGCATATAAGGAAACTGGAAAAGCTTCAGAAGTTTGCAACGAGACTCGTCCCAGAGTTACGAGGTATGGGGTATGAGGAGCGCCTGAAGGAACTGTGCCTTACGACACTAGAAAAAGAAGGGAGAGGGGGGATATGATAGGAACGTATAAAATACTCAGGGGGATTGACAGTGTGACCATAGACGAAATGTTCACACGGAATAGTAACAGAACGAGGGGACATGGATGGAAGCTGGAAACTCAGATGAGTCGCAGAGATGTTAGGAAGTTTTCTTTTAGCGTGAGAGTAGTGGGAAAATGGAATGCACTTAAGGAGCAGGTTGTGGAAGCAAACTCTCTTCATAATTTTAACGCCAGGTATGATAGGGAAATAAGACCGGGGTCATTGCTGTAAACAACCGATGGCTCGAAAGGCGGGATCCAAGAGTCAATGCTCGATCCTGCAGACACAAATAGGTGAGTACACAAACACAATATACATATAAATATATATGCAATTAAAAGATTAGACAATAAGCTATCACAGGATACAGTGAGCATTGTAGCATATATTGGCCACCGCCAGATCTTGCTGGTAAGGTTAGGTTACTGGTGGAGAATCATACAGGAAGAATTAAGGAAGCCTCACCAAGGCTCGTGTAGTGAGGCTCCTCACAGTCACTACCACACTACACTCACACTTCAGTATAGTGTAAGCACCCACAAGCAAAATGCAAAAACCAAAACGCAGTTACTTTCCTTGTATATGTAAATCATGTTATAAATCTTGGCAATTCTTAACAAACCCAGCAACAACTTCAAGCTTGCAGAGTTCTACTCAATTCAATTTCTTTATTATGCACCCCATACCCATCCCGTGGGCGGTGGTGTAAAGGATCACAGAGGCACATAATCGGTTCAGGAACTGAACCCTCTAGTTCGTTTAGCTAAGCAAATAACAATCTTTTGACGCTAGTTACAAGATTATCAATGTTGTATACACATGTACAGAGTTCTACTGACAACTTAAATGGCAACTTGGAGGGTTGTACGTAGAGTGTGGTCTGTGACCAGGCTGGACTTGTGCGAGCTTGGTCCATCAGACTGTTGCTCGGATTGATTGACTGATGCAGATTAAGCCACCCAGGAGCCGAGCGGACAGCATGCTGGACTTGTGATCCTGTGGTCCTGGGTTCGATCCCAGGCACCGGCGAGAAACAATGGGCAGAGTTTCTTTCACCCTATGCCCCTGTTACCTAGCAGTAAAATAGGTACCTGGGTGTTAGTCAGCTGTCACGGGCTGCTTCCTGGGGGTGGAGGCCTGGTCGAGGACCGGGCCGCGGGGACACTAAAGCCCCGAAATCATCTCAAGATAACCTCAAGATAACCCAAGAGGTGGCACCCACCAATAGGTCCATGGAGCGGCCTATATTGGAATTTTTCAGAATAGCCGTCTTGGAGGTATGAGTTATATGGCACTGGTGCCGTAGCCACTGGCCTTGAGGGCAGTGAAATGTGAGTGTAGTGGGTGTTTGGAGGCATGCCAGTGTCCGAGTGTGTGTGTGGGGCGTTGGCTAGCTAGGCTGCCAGCCGGCCACAGGGGGGGGGGGCTGGTGAGTCAGAGGTCAACCTCCATTGTTCCTCAAGTTACCTCCGCTTCTCTGACCCCTTCACCTTCATCGACCTCATCAGAGCTGATAACCTGTCACGACACCCTTCACTCACCCCTTCACCCCCCCTCACTCCCCCCCCCTCACTCCCCCCCCCCTCACTCCCCCCCCTCACTCCCCCCCCCTCATCAAACACCTTGGCCACCTGTCGAGACGATGACTGGCCTTAAATCTCCATGACCACCTCTACAGGCCAGGTCACCACAGGCTGGGTCAGGTCACCACAGGCTGGGTCAGGTCACCACAGGCTGGGTCAGGTCATCACAGGCTGGGTCAGGTCACCACAGGCTGGGTCAGGTCACCACAGGCTGGGTCAGGTCACCACAGGCTGGGTCAGGTCATCACAGGCTGGGTCAGGTCACCACAGGCTGGGTCAGGTCACCACAGGCTGGGTCAGGTCACCACAGGCTGGGTCAGGTCACCACAGGCTGGGTCAGGTCATCACAGGCTGGGTCAGGTCATCACAGGCTGGGTCAGGTCATCACAGGCTGGGTCAGGTCACCACAGGCTGGGTCAGGTCATCACAGGCTGGGTCAGGTCACCACAGGCTGGGTCAGGTCACCACAGGCTGGGTCAGGTCACCACAGGCTGGGTCAGGTCATCACAGGCTGGGTCAGGTCACCACAGGCTGGGTCAGGTCATCACAGGCTGGGTCAGGTCATCACAGGCTGGGTCAGGTCACCACAGGCTGGGTCAGGTCACCACAGGCTGGGTCAGGTCGGAGCTTGGTCCAACAGGCTGTTGCTTGGATGAAGTGCAAGATGGAGTGATGTGTAGGAACAAGTTGCAAGTAGCACGGGCTATGGTGAGCCCGTAGTGGACTTACCTGGCACAGGAGCGGGGTTGTGTAGACCTGTTAGTGTCCACACCAGCCAGTCTTACACCTGGCTGGTCACACACGTGACCAACACTGAGGAGTGGTCAGGTGTGTGTGGCCTAAGGTTCGGAAGGACAGGTTAATTTGGCGTAGGCCTGGCCATGAAGGTTAGGTTAGTTGGGCGGCAGTGTGACGGGACGATGGTCGTGCATGACTGGAGGAACACCTCACCCGTCACTCCCACCTGACGACGCATGACTGGAGGAACACCTCACCCGTCACTCCCACCTGACGACGCATGACTGGAGGAACACCTCACCCGTCACTCCCACCTGACGACGCATGACTGGAGGAACACCTCACCCGTCACTCCCACCTGACGACGCATGACTGGAGGAACACCTCACCCGTCACTCCCACCTGACGACGCATGACTGGAGGAACACCTCACCGGTCACTCCCACCTGACGACGCATGACTGGAGGAACACCTCACCCGTCACTCCCACCGGACGACGCATGACAGGTTATACACATATGACAGTCATGGCAGGAGCCGCATGGTGTGGCACGTGCAACAGAGGCGTCGTGAGGCCAGCATCTTGAGACAGCATGAGAGGTGCAGCATGCTTCATGATGTAGGCTCCCCGGACACGAGCGAGGGAGGCCTACAATGATAGTACATATAGCAACTATTTGAACATTGCTAGGCCTACTAAATGTGCTGTATTTAACCTAAGACAGCGTATATTAGGCTTGGTTAGGCTAGGCTAGGTTAGGCTAGGTTAGGCAAGGCTAGGCTAGGCAAGGCTAGGTTAGGCTAGGCTAGGCTAAGCTAGGTTAGGCTAGGTTAGGTTAGCCTTTGTTACGTTCTTTAGTTTTCCAGTTTGTTTACAATACAATTTAGGGTGACAACAAAAAGTCATGTTTTTGGGCCGTGCTGTTTATTTGTTTACATTTGAGCAAATCCTTGTTTTAAGTCCTAGTCATTTGAAGAGGATGAGGTGGATGAGGCGCCATGACACCGTGGCCACGCATCCAGCACCACCAGTGTCTGCCAGCTCAGGCACGGCTCAGGCACAGCTCGGGCACGGCTCAGGCACGGCTCAGGCACGGCTCAGGCACGGCTCAGGCACGGCTCGGGCACGGCTCAGGCACGGCTCAGGCACGGCTCAGGCACGGCTCAGGCACGGCTCGGGCACGGCTCAGGCATGGCTCAGGCACGGCTCAGGCACGGCTCGGGCACGGTAACAAGTAAGGAGAGTATTTAAACAATGGCCCTTATCAAGACAGCGTGTAAAAAACTGGAGGTCTGATAGTCTCATGAAAAATGGTCCCGTGCCACGGTGAGAGTGAGGAGTGGTCCGTGCCACGGTGAGAGTGAGGAGTGGTCCGTGCCACGGTGAGAGTGAGGAGTGGTCCGTGCCACGGTGAGAGTGAGGAGTGGTCCGTGCCACGGTGAGAGTGAGGAGTGGTCCGTGCCACGGTGAGAGTGAGGAGTGGTCCCGTGCCACGGTGAGAGTGAGGAGTGGTCCGTGCCACGGTGAGAGTGAGGAGTGGTCCGTGCCACGGTGAGAGTGAGGAGTGGTCCGTGCCACGGTGAGAGTGAGGAGTGGTCCCGTGCCACGGTGAGAGTGAGGAGTGGTCCGTGCCACGGTGAGAGTGAGGAGTGGTCCGTGCCACGGTGAGAGTGAGGAGTGGTCCCGTGCCACGGTGAGAGTGAGGAGTGGTCCGTGCCACGGTGAGAGTGAGGAGTGGTCCGTGCCACGGTGAGAGTGAGGAGTGGTCCGTGCCACGGTGAGAGTGAGGAGTGGTCCGTGCCACGGTGAGAGTGAGGAGTGGTCCGTGCCACGGTGAGAGTGAGGAGTGGTCCGTGCCACGGTGAGAGTGAGGAGTGGTCCGTGCCACGGTGAGAGTGAGGAGTGGTCCGTGCCACGGTGAGAGTGAGGAGTGGTCCGTGCCACGGTGAGAGTGAGGAGTGGTCCGTGCCACGGTGAGAGTGAGGAGTGGTCCCGTGCCACGGTGAGAGTGAGGAGTGGTCCGTGCCACGGTGAGAGTGAGGAGTGGTCCGTGCCACGGTGAGAGTGAGGAGTGGTCCGTGCCACGGTGAGAGTGAGGAGTGGTCCGTGCCACGGTGAGAGTGAGGAGTGGTCCGTGCCACGGTGAGAGTGAGGAGTGGTCCGTGCCACGGTGAGAGTGAGGAGTGGTCCGTGCCACGGTGAGAGTGAGGAGTGGTCCGTGCCACGGTGAGAGTGAGGAGTGGTCCGTGCCACGGTGAGAGTGAGGAGTGGTCCGTGCCACGGTGAGAGTGAGGAGTGGTCCGTGCCACGGTGAGAGTGAGGAGTGGTCCGTGCCACGGTGAGAGTGAGGAGTGGTCCGTGCCACGGTGAGAGTGAGGAGTGGTCCGTGCCACGGTGAGAGTGAGGAGTGGTCCGTGCCACGGTGAGAGTGAGGAGTGGTCCGTGCCACGGTGAGAGTGAGGAGTGGTCCGTGCCACGGTGAGAGTGAGGAGTGGTCCGTGCCACGGTGAGAGTGAGGAGTGGTCCGTGCCACGGTGAGAGTGAGGAGTGGTCCCGTGCCACGGTGAGAGTGAGGAGTGGTCCCGTGCCACGGTGAGAGTGAGGAGTGGTCCGTGCCACGGTGAGAGTGAGGAGTGGTCCGTGCCACGGTGAGAGTGAGGAGTGGTCCGTGCCACGGTGAGAGTGAGGAGTGGTCCGTGCCACGGTGAGAGTGAGGAGTGGTCCGTGCCACGGTGAGAGTGAGGAGTGGTCCGTGCCACGGTGAGAGTGAGGAGTGGTCCGTGCCACGGTGAGAGTGAGGAGTGGTCCGTGCCACGGTGAGAGTGAGGAGTGGTCCGTGCCACGGTGAGAGTGAGGAGTGGTCCGTGCCACGGTGAGAGTGAGGAGTGGTCCCGTGCCACGGTGAGAGTGAGGAGTGGCCACGTGCCATAGAGAGCGTGCGGTAAAGTACAGGTAAAGTTTACTATGGACTTTCCGGAAGGTGAGACACGTGGTGAGTGAGGTGCCGCTGGCGCCACGCTCGTCCCCGGCCGGGTCCCCCCAGACGTGCAGCATCTCTGTACCGCTGCTCATTACCACTCACAAGTCAGCCAGTTGAGAGTCTTGAGAGATGAGCTTTAACAGCCGGGAGGATTGGAAGAGGCCGGGGGGGGGGGGTAAGACATGGTGCCCAGGTCTTGCTGGTCACTAAGACCGGCTGGTGTGGTCACTAAGACCGGCTGGTGTGGTCACTAAGACCGGCTGGTGTGGTCACTAAGACCGGCTGGTGTGGTCACTACTGACCCCTCCAGGAAGGAGACGCCTGGACTAGGCCTTGATGGGCTCGAGTAAAGTGGAGGGAATGTATGGAGAGAAAATGGTGTGACATTGTACCTGGATTGTACCTGGATGGGGTTCTGGGAGTTCTTCTACTCCCCAAGCCCGGCCCGGGGACCAGGCTTGACTTGAGAGAGCTTGGTCCAACAGGCTGTTGCTTGGATGAAGTGGAAGATGGAGTGGTGTGTAGGCCGCGGGGACCTCCGTTCCGGAAGGGTGTTGGCGTAGAGGAGCGCGTAAAGTAACTTGAGTTAGGATGAGGTGATTGCTCCGGAGGGAGGTGCCGCGGCTTGTATGGTACTCGGAGATGGAAGCAAGAGATAATAAGAGAAAAGAAGGGAGTGCGAATGAAAGGGGCGGACGTAAATGGAGGGGCTCCACCTGAAGGTCAACAAGTACGAAATTAGTGAGGCAAGTCGTGCGCGGTATCAGCAGCTGCAGCAGCAGCAGCAGCACCTGCAGCGCCGTCGTCCCGTCAGGTAATTGTTTACACGGGGAGCGAACCGCAGGTATGCGAGGCGGGAAGGTCGAGGCGGGCGGTGGCGGCTTTGTGTGTACTGGCGGGAAAGTCGCGGCTAATGGCGCCACCAGGAAGCCGTCCCGGTCGTCTCTCACACACTTATCACTTCACCTCATCCTACCCCAGTTAGCACAGGGGGGGGGGGGCAGTTTTAGTTCTGTTTACAGGGGGAAGGGGGAGCCAGACGTACAAAAAACAGAGTTGTACCTGGCATTGTTTCCCAATCAAAATAGGATTGTGAATGCGGTGGAATTTGAGGATTGACACTTCCGGCGTGTCTCCGGTGCTCTATGTAGTGAGGGAGCAGACAGCCGGGTGCATGTACTTCACACGGCACAGCGGGGAAAACATAGCCGAGCCGGTCGGCCGAGCGGACAGCACGCTGGACTTGTGATCCTGTGGTCCTGGGTTCGATCCCAGGCACCGGCGAGAAACAATGGACAGAGTTTCTTTCACCCTATGCCCCTGTTACCTAGCAGTAAAATAGGTACCTGGGTGTTAGTCAGCTGTCACGGGCTGCTTCCTGGGGGTGGAGGCCTGGTCGAGGACCGGGCCGCGGGGACACTAAAAGCCCCGAAATCATCTCAAGATAACCTCAAGATAGACAATGTGGTATTAGCCTAATGCGTGCAAGATTGCAGTCTGACCATAGACGGACCTCCAGAAGCAGACACCCCCCAGTGTGCAAATTAATTTGATCAGAATTCCGCCGAAAAAAGCTAGACGCGCAATATCTAATTATGAAAGGCATTATTGTGGTGAACATTTTCCAAACTTCCTGCCCTTCCGCCTGTCGACTTTCCAACTGGGAACAAATATTAGGATTCCCTCGTTGTCTTCAAAAGTTAAACACACACCTTAGGGGCAACGAGTCAATCCAGGTATTTACGTGGACAAAACAGCCAAAGCAAAACTCGTCGACTTGATGTTGAGGAGAATGAGGCCGGACATGAGGAGCCGGCAGCTGGCTCTTCTCACACTTCTCGCCACACGACCCACGGGGGGGGGGGGGGGGGGGGGGGAAGGTTAATGTCAACATTACACCAAGACTTGTGGGTAATATTGTCACGCCCCGCGCCTTGCTTGACCTGGGGTCGATTCCCCAGCCTGACCCTGCGGCACCCAGCTGTTGGATTGTGCCTGGATGAGGTTCTGGGGGATGTACTCCCCAAGCCCGGCTAGGGGCCAGGCTGACTTGTGACAGCTTGGTCCAATAGGCTGTTGTTTGCAGCGTTTGCAGGTCAACATATCCACTACAGCCCGGTTGGTCCAGCACTTCTTGCAGAAAAATGTCCAGTTTTTTCTTGAAGACTTCTACTTATGTTCCGGCATTATTTCTTATAATTGCCAGGAGAATGATGAACAGCAGTGGACCTCTGACGTTCATAGTGTACTCAAGCCGGGACAGTACAAGTGATTTGAATAGTGTAAGCATTGTGATGGGATTCTTGGACGTGAAAGTTCTCGTAATCCATCCTGTCATTATTATAGCTGACGCAATATTTGCTTAGTTATGCTCCCTTGAACGTTAGGTTGTTGGACATCATTATTCCCAGATCCTTTACATGCTGCTTTCCTACTATGGGCAGCCTGACCCTCTGCTGCCCTGCTGTTGGACATGCTTCTCTCACCTTCAAAGCCTGACCCACAGAAGCATTATAAGACAGAATGCAGATGCTGTATACACTGACTTAACAAAGGCATTAGATAAATGTGACCATAGAGTGATAGTGAATAATAATGAAGCCAGTAGGAGCAACAAGGAATGTACTGCGATGGATATTCAATTTCATATCAAACAGAATAGTAAGAGCAAGACACAATCAATTAAAATCAAGTTAAAACACAGTGACAAGCTTTGTGCCTTAGGGCACAGTCCTGACACCACTGATTCCTGGTCATTGTCATATAGTCAGTAGTCTAGTGACTTCATGCCGTCTACTGTTCAGCCTCACAAGGCCTGAACAGTGAAGCCTCACAAGGCCTGAACAGTGAAGCCTCACAAGGCCTGAACAGTGAAGCCTCCTGCGGCCTGAACAGTGAAGCCTCACAAGGCCTGAACAGTGAAGCCTCCTGCGGCCTGAACAGTGAAGCCTCCTGCGGCCTGAACAGTGAAGCCTCACAAGGCCTGAACAGTGAAGCCTCCTGCGGCCTGAACAGTGAAGCCTCACAAGGCCTGAACAGTGAAGCCTCCTGCGGCCTGAACAGTGAAGTCTCACAAGGCCTGAACAGTGAAGCCTCCTGCGGCCTGAACAGTGAAGTCTCCTGCAGCTGCATTAGTACTGTTTTGAGTAGTGTCGTGAGGGAAGGTCACTATCGGTTGCTGCCACTCAGAGGGTCGAGGCTAATTACACGCTACGGCTGGGCGTCTTGTGCTGCGTGTTTGTTACAGCTTAATTAGCAGACCCAGTTTTTCAGTGAGTAGATATGGGGGGGGGTAGACCGTGTACGTGGCCATGTGTGCACTCCCGTGTGTGTGTGTGTGTGTGTGTGTGTGTGTGTGTGTGTGTGTGTGTGTGTGTGTGTGTGTGTGTGTGTGTGTGTGTGAGCGAGCAAACTATAACAAGTTTACTCATATTTTTTTTCAAGCCAGTCTTCACCATTAATGCTCAGCCCGTCCCCGATGGCCAGGTGGTGGGGTAGATGTCTGGTCTACCATATACGGTCCCTACCTGCCTGCCTGCCTGCCTGCCTGCCTGCCTGCCTGCCTGCCTGCCTGCCTGCCTGCCTGCCTGCCTGCCTGCCTGCCTGCCTGCCTGCCTGCCTGCCTGCACAGCTTGGGAGTGTTGGGCTGTGTACGGCCACCATAGGCCGGAGGTTGATGGAGGTGGAGGCGCGCACGTGTGTGCGTACTCACCTATTTGGGCTTGGGGGGGGGTTGAGCTTTAGCTCTTTGGTCCCGTCTCTCAACCGTCAATCTACTGGTGTATAGATTCCTGAGCTTCTCGAACTCTATCATGTCTACATTTGAAACTGTGTATGGAGTCAGCCTACACCCACATCACTGCCTAATGCATTCCATTTACTAACTACTCTGACACTGAAAAAATTCTTTCTAATGTCTCTGTGGCTCATTTGGGTACTCAGCTTCCATTTGGGTTCCCTTGTGCGTGTACCACCCGTGTTAAATAATCCATCATTGTCTACCCTGTCAGTTCCCTGAGAATTTTGTATGTGGTGATTATATCTTCTCGAGCTCTTCTGTCTTCCAGCGACGTGAGGTGTAGTTCCCGCAGCCTTTCCTCGTAACTCATACCTCTTAGTTCTTGGACTAGCCTAGTGTCATACCTCTGAACTTTTTCCAGCTTCGTCTTGTGCTTGACAAGGTACGGGCTCCATGCTGGGGCCGCATACTCCAGGATTGGTCTTACATATGTGGTATACAAGGTTCTGAATGATTCCTTACATAGGTTTCTGAAGGCGGTTGGCTTCAGGAGACAGGTTTGATGTGGGCTTCAGGAGACAGGTTTGGCGTGATATCAACTCCTAGACCTTTCTCTCTGTCCATTTCGTGAAGGACTTCATACCCCGTTCGGTATCCAATGTCTGGCCTCCTATTTCTTCCCCCTAGTTTTATTGCCTTACACTTACTTGGGTTGAACTTTAGTAGCCATTTGTTTTGCCATTCCTTTAGTTTCTTTAGGTCATCTTGTAGCGTCATACTATATTTCTCTGTCTTAATCTACCTCATAATTTTTGCATCATCAGCAAACATTGAGAGGAACGAGTCTATTCCCTCTGGGAGATCATTTACATATATCAGGAAAGTATAGGTCCAAGAACTGATCCCTGAAGGACTCCACTGGTGACGCCTCGCCACTCTGAGACCTCACCCCTCACAGTGACTCTTCTGTTGCTTAGGTACTCCTTTATCCAGTGGAGTACCTTCCCTTTCACTCTTGCTTGCTTCTCCAGTTTGTGCAATAGTCTCTTACGTGGTACTGTGTCAAAGGCTTTTTGGCAATCCAAAAATATGCAGTCTGCCCACCCCTCTCTTTCTTGCCTGATTTTTGTTGCCTGGTCATAGAACTCAATTAATCATGTGAGGCAGGACTTGCCCTCCCTGAACCCATGTTGGTGTTGTGTCACAAAGTTCTTCCGCTCCAGATGTTCCACTAGCTTTTTTCGCACAATCTTCTCCGTCAGCTTGCATGGTATGCAAGTAAGTGACACTGGCCTGTAGTTCAGTGCTTCCTGTCTGTCACCCTTCTGTGTGTGTGGGGGGGGGGGTGCGCGC